ATTCCTTCAAGGTACATGGTACTACAAAATCCTAATGACCGCTGCCTTATTTACTCCTTGGTGAGATCATATGTGGGCTGATTTTAGCGTCTAACCTATAAAATATTTTCTACGGTACACTGAAGTCATTCTGGCTTTTAAGTCCTGTCACACAATAATACCTCGTGATGTGCTTTTGTTTCAAGTCTGTGTGTCCAAAATTCGTTACACATTCTTTCGCGTCAGAATTCTGTTTTCAGGAGCTATAATCTACCTTTACCATTCGTGTGTCTCTTAGCGTCTGTTCATTCATAAGTCGCTAGTAAACCATTTTGGAGTCTTGGCAGTCTATCTGAAAGGTTGGTTGCGAACTTGAGGGGTGCCTCGTTCGGTTTCGGCCAATGAGCAGTCTTTGTCTTAAGGACGATTCCGCTGACCAAGGAATTTACCATAGGCTGCTTCAAATTGGGGTGGCTCAGTTTGTAAAGCATCAGACTCACAACCGCCGAAATCCCGGTTTCGAACCATGGTCAGGTCTCTGGCTTTTCTTCCTGTTGAGGTTGATAAATCAGTAACACTCTGTGAAAAGGAAACGAGAAACGACATGCTTTGCTCGCCACAGCTGCTGTTTACTTTGCCTTTGGTCAAAGTAGTACACCCCTCGTTGGTAACATCGAAATGTTAAGCGGCGTTTTGTCATCAACTCCATGAGAATGTGGTGTTTTTACCTCGGGAGTTCAGAGGTACCGCTGAATGTTATGCAACTGCCAGAAATAATCACGATGGCAACAAGTAACTCAGTCGGTTGAGCTTGAGTCGAATTGCCTCCGTTAAACCTGAACTAACAAGCAGTAACTAATGATGAGAGGATTTGCAGCACAATGGAAGAAAGCGTCCGGTGGTATTACTTTCATGTGTGCCTGTACAAACTGATGTGTATATGACTGATGGTTTTATGTGCATCTGTGATGCCATGCTACACACCAGCAAGACGCCAGCGAATGAACCCGCTATAAAAGATTTGCCTCCGAGATGTAAGGGTCCATCATAAAGGTGTCAAAAAGACTGACATTCCAAAGATTACAACTTTCAATTTTTTCTTTATGCACTATTTTGCGAAATGAAACAAATAGGAGATTTACAAATGCGCGAGTGTAGTGACGATAGCGTCATGAAATATTTTCTAATTGAGTCTAAAACGACCACTGTGGGCAAATCGCTGGCTCTCTCCTACTTCCATATATTCTGTCCTGTAGCACTGATGCCAACCAACTTTGTATGGCATGGAGACAATTGTTTCAAGATCGACGGTGGAACTACATGCAACAGAGTTAGTTTCTGCGGATAATGAGAGCAAATAGCCGCATATGGAATGACTCTATTCTGTTCCAAGCAGAAATGCCCTCAGTGGAGGTAACAATTAAGAAAATTAATTAAATAATCTGGCTGAACCGAAATAAGGAGTCAAATTAATTAAGCAATCTGGTGAGCCCGAAGCAGCAGACGTCGATATGAAGGCCAGCATGTATCATGGAGGCAGCTGTGCTTTCGCAGTGAGACGTTTCCTTAACATAGATAAAAATAGTTTAAGGGGCATCATTTTTGAAGGTTGTGTAGAACGTTGAAATTTGAACGGACAATACGGCATATGGATTTGTCATATTTTTTGTTCGATCTGCAAATATTAAAAAAATGTTGAGCACTCTTCAATTATTTATGCACAAGCAGCGCCTTCGGTCTGGAAATTACGAAAACTGAATAATTACGAACAAAGCTGTGCTTGAAATGCTTTCAGACTTTTACAAGTAACGGAGGAAATTCCGAGAAAAATCAATCCATCGATATGACCAAATGAGAGTTTTTTCTCCATGGCTTCTGGAGGCACAGAACAAGGGTACCCGGATAATTATCGTAATTCCCTCGGAGTTTTTCATCGAACAGTTCGGTGATCAGTTAATTAAGCTGTCTTTTCTAAATCTCTACCTCGCATATTTGTTTTACGTAGGAGTATTGACCACAGCGCTGCAGACGTTCGCGAAAGTAGGTTTTATCCGGCAACGCACAGAGGACGAATGGCAATGGTGTGACGTCGACAAACGATTTCGAGCTTAGTTGTGACATTCCATAAATCTGCGGTTGGCCACAAGTCAGTTGGTAGTACTGTTAAGACTTCAAATCATGAGACGAACAGAGGGGACATGGTTAACGAGGTTTCGACCAACGAAAGTAATGAAATTGAAAGATGCTGTTCTTCTGTCTTGAGAACTGGTGAACAGACACGCTTTTTATCACTATCGATAGCAAACTTGATTCACGAGCTGGAACAGCAGCGAAACTCAATCCGTTTCAAAATACTGTAATCACGACTGCGCTTACATTTGGCCATGAATAACCAATCAGCGATGGTCCCAAATTCCATCTCTTGTTCAGGCTGGCAACGATAAGATATCCTGGTTGCGGAACTGCTTTCCACTCGCATTGTCTTATTTTTGACCATGCACGCTACGAAATATATGACCTTCTCTCCGTTCCCTCTGTCGTCCACACACATAAACGTCACTCTCCGTAACCAAGAGTAATCAGCCTTCTTTTAACATGACGTTTTCGTGAAACAGACGTTTCTCGGAACAAGATGTTCTTATATTCGCTTTGCCCAAAATCCGTTGGCTTATTTTTTTAGTTATGATGGCGTTCTTGTTTCGAGATCATTCCGGTCATCCCGAACTTAGATCAGTCGCCCAAAAGTAGACCGAATATTATTTAGCCATATGTACCCAAGGTGTCTGACCCAATCAATTGGAACCTTAACAGCGAAGCCACTGTTGTCTACTACAAATTGATACAAGTTTGGGAATGTTGCCATTCAAGAAGCTCCATGTAAATCAATTCCCGGAAATCATGATGAGGTCTACCATGGAAAGACTTATCGGCAGTTGAACATCCGGAATAACGAACCTTTTCGGTCGGTGTCGGGCAGCTTTGCAGTTCTGGTGTTATCCGTCACTTCAGCTGTAAAGGGCACTATTTCAGCGAAGTGAATGTTTCTGTGTTCGACGGAGACGGCTCAGGAATCGGTCTTCTGATGGCAGAGTTCCTTTGATTGTGGCACATGAACATCGAATGTACAATGAATAGCACTACAGCTATGTCAATAGTTTATACTGACTGTGAACATCACAAGTTGTAGTGTTTTTTGTCAAAGTCGTCAAAGCCAAGCAAAACTCGATGAACGAAGCCATTTCAAATGAATAAATATGGATACCCAGTTGCAACGGCGAAAATTTATTTCTTACTTCACACCAACACTGCAGTAATGTAAGAATGAAGGAAGTCTTACACCGGACTGTACAGCAGTGCTGCACCACTCCCTTGCTTCTAGTCGCCTGGGGGAGGGGGAGGTGAATTTAGCAGGTCACGGCTGCGCGGCATTTAAGCGCCATAGGACGTATGATCACCTATAGTAGTTGGGTTGAACAACGGCATATACACCCTATATGCCACTAACCTTACGTGAATACAACTCATGGCGTAAAATATGTAAAACACCGATAGCTTCCACAAGTTGGAGCGCCCGATGCCACTGGACATTGCAAGGTCATTTGACTGTGGTTTGTAACGAACTGCACATTATATTTCAGTAAACCAATGAGTAATGTCGACTGATTGACACTAGCCGACTTAACCAGTTGCTTACTTACTTAATGCCAGATGCTGAACTGACTATGACTATCACATCGATATTAATTGGGCCACCAGTCTAGCACACATCAACTTTTGCTCACTACATTTCGTTGAAGTTAAACAACTAAAATCAACGAGTGAAAAAAAATTTTTTTGACTTACCCTGCAGTCAGGACACAGCCATCCAGTGCTTTCGTCTTCTTCCCTCGTTCATGCATGGTTGAGTACGCATTTTGTTCGACCTGATGCCAGCGGCCGGATTTCAAGTCATAGGTCTTTCGATCGCTTACGTAAACAAATAATTGAACATCTGCGGTATGGCATGGTACTTCTTTCCGGTGGCACGAGAACAGAGTACAAGTTTTGGACTCGCAGCTGCTAATTTGGCAGCCGTTCCACTGTGTGCCGAGTGTCTCAGCGAATCATCTTCGTTCGTTCCATGGTTTGATCTAGACGTGACGGTGGTGGTGATATTTTATATTCGAAACTCTCTGCTCATCGCTTGTCCGCACCTCACCTCATATTACAGTGATGTACATTAAGGGGAATTCCCTACATGAATACGGGAAAGTCGGTCTTAGAGCTAACACAGTTCGATTTTCTACGATAAGCCTCACCAGACCGCCAGTGATTCCATATGTCGTTGAAGATGAAGCCACGAATGTCCAGGATCGCTCTGACTCCAGTGAAGTTGCTCCATTTTCAGCTATCCCCATAAAAAGCATTTGGAAGTATGTATATCTTCTCAGTCATGGAACGATACGTGAAATCAGAGGATCCCGAATAAGACGGCAATCGAACAGTAGAAATGCACCTCTGGCAAGAGTCGCTTCACCACCATAGAAGAGGAAGGGACACGGATTCAACGGCCGCAACGCGAACGTGTACATGCAACCAGCTATATTGTCGCTGCCAACGTGTCTTATGTAAAAAAGTAGAAAAACTGCAATCAGAGGATTATGCAGATTATTCTGCGAATGGTCGGCCATCATAAATCCTGTTTATGACACGGAAACTACACACACACACACACACACACACACACACACACACACACACACACACACACACACACACACACACACACATGCGAATCTGATCAGTAATTTTTTTCAAGTCGTTCAATTCGCAGTGAAAAACCTTCGTTTGGGTGCCAGACGTGATAACAAAAAATCTACATGCCAAATCGCCTGCTTTAAATGAATGCAAAAATAAAAAATAAAATTTTTTGATTGTTAATTGATGGAAAATAATGAGCACTACCAAGCTCTCGTATTCAGTACTGCCTCATCCGCACCGTTTCTGCTACGACGTATTGCAAACCGTTAGTATCGCATCTCATTAATAGGGGGACTTTAACGATAAATAAGTAAATGAACGAATGATTGGTTGATTGGATGAACGAATTAATGAATGGGATGGATGATTCGATGAATAAATAAATGATGCAATAGACGAATAAATGAATGCGAATCTGTGAATTAAGTAATTAATCAATGGATAAATTAATCGATGGACAAACAAACGAAGGAAGAGTGAGTAAGCGAATGAGGGAATGAATGAACTTTCGATGAAACGCGTGATCGAAAGAATGAATGAAAAAACCAATGGAATTGCTGAATGATGTTTCATTTATTTATGTGATGCACACAGGAATGATGGATGTATCAAGGGACAAACAAATGAGCGGAATGAGTTTGTGAAATGACGCATGACCGACTGACTGAACACAAGTGAATGAATGCTGGCAAGCAGAAATGAATGAACAAACAGATGAATCACTAAACGAATGAATTACTGAAGGGCGTTATACTTATTTATGGAATGAACACTGAGTGACGCAATAAAACGAGAACTTCCAAAAAGGAGGAAATATTGCATACGTCATTATCTTGTGTACTGTTGAAGCCAGTGCTACGAATCATTCACTAATCGTTCTTACGTCATTTCGCCGAAGCAGTTCGTCCCCTCTCCCAAGGAAACACCCTCTTTCGAAACTCTGACAGAATCATACAATTTTGTGGCACGTGTCAGTGATGTGATAGAAAAAAATGGCAGTATCTTCGGCAACGATTCGACTACACCTCTCTGAGAGCTACTTACGGTTCAGCATAACATTTAGCGAGTAAATGCAAACTTAAGTGTTTTACGACGTATAGAACGTACGTTGGAAAACTCCAGCACCAAGTACCTTTACTGGGATTCGTTGCCTCATTTAAGTCACGCTTCTGCAGAACCAGCCGAATGAGTTGCCTTGCCTTAAGGTAGGTAAACATGGCGAGATTCAGTGCTTGGACACAGCGACCTTCATTCGAAGGAATTTTTTAGCTGATCGACATTTGCGATCACCATCAAAACTAACGTAATCATTGACAGTGCCTTCGTCGACCCAAATGCTGCCATGCCAAGGGAATCGCTCGATCCTCTTCGGGTTAGTGAGTTAAAAGACTCTATCCTCATGTGCTTGACACTGAGCCTGTATAAGCCTTGAAAGGCGTGTAGGAACGTTGTGAACATATTAGTTGCATGCGAGAATCGTAGCAGCGCTGTCGGTTGAACACCGTAATCACGAACTTGTGCTGATTCACACTCGACAGGTCATCAACTACCGAATCACCCTGAAGTAGTGTGGTACTTTTTGTCAGAACTGTTGATCTAATGTATATTCAGTATTTGTTATTGATGCTTTGCAGAACAATGCTTCTTTCTGCTTCCAGAAATGGTATGCTGCGTACAACAGCAAGATAATTATTGTGCAACACGTAACAGACGTAGGAGGCAACAAACAATTCAAAGTAGTACGTTTCATGAGGCAACGAACTAACTGCTGTACTACTAACATTTTCATACAATTCAATTCTTATTTACAATTTGATGACGTTTGCAATGAAGTCGCGTGCAGCGGAATTTCAAGACTGGCATGGTCTAAAATCTGCATTTCGTCACGTTTTGTAATATTCACCCGTTCTCGATGAACGTCTCTTGGTTGGTGCTGTTTTATGCGTAGAATTTTTATTATTTCCTCATTACCCCTAAATGGTGAAAACCGGAACTCATTCTAGACAGTAGACTGCTATGCTCTACTGTAATCCATTGAGATCTGTGTGCGAGTTTCGCATGAATCAGTCTTGAACAAATGTGGCTAATTTTCGCTGATAACAATGCCCATTTTATGGCTCAGCCTAGTCTTTTGAGGAAATGGACTTCCTTCCCTGTCGGATGTTTCTCCATTCTACTGGAACAGCATTGTACTTTATGACGAAAGGGTTTTTCTCGATATTTGCTGTATCGTTTTTAATCAAATTAATGTCACGTCCTTCTAAAAGGATCGTGTAATGGTTAGAGTGTAACTGGCTTCAATTAATGAAACACGAACGGCGACCCTTTGTTCATAATTTCATCGAGTGGTGTCATTTGAGTTTGATGGCCGTAGTTTGATGGATGCAAGACCTCACCACTATGCATCAGCGTAATTATTATTTATGTTATCAATATAGCTATTTGCCTTAATGTTACCTAGAAGGGCTAGGATACTACTCAAAAGACTGTGCCTGCAGTAGTTGGTGATTGTTCGACGCCGGTGGTTAGTGAACGCGTTAAAATATCTTCTGAAGCATACTGACCTGCCTGAAGGCCAAGGGGTGGGAACGCCTATGAAATTCAGGGTACAATCATAACGAAGTTTCGCAACGGATTGAGCTATGGATAAATTTATTTATTTACGAAAAAATTTTCTGTACGAAATAAATATACAACCGATGCAGGTGATCACCAGAAGAACTATGCATCCTGTGAGCACGTACGCCAAGGTATCAACGGTGTGGTGCATCTCGGCCAGTTTCAAGATGAGCGTTGTGTTCATCGTCGTCGTCGAGTTGACGCTGCAGTGCATCTTCACCGGGGAGACAGTGGCGCCGGGGTCTACAACACGATCCGCGGTGGTCGGGTTCATGACCAACCTCATGTTCTTCGAGTTGACATTCCTGCTTTTCTGTTCCTTGCGGTCCAACCGAGAGCAGAAGCTATTGCGCTGCAGTGCCCTGAACGGCATCAGTCTGTGAATGATCTGGTAGTAGGCGCGAGTGCATCTCCTCTTGCTGCGTCCTGTGGAGTTGGAGGCAAAGAAAGACGTCTTACGGGCGCCGTACCTGAGCATCTCCAGGTAGTGTTCTGTATCGGTCGAGTTGCGGCCGAACTGCACAAGGTGCAGGTACCACATATGTGAACTGCAGCTGTCCCCCCACCAGAACAGTTGTTGCTTGAGCACGACGATCAGTGGCAGCAGGAGACTCCTGCGCTCGGGCTCGATGAGGAACAGGGCGTTCGGGTTTTCGGTG